CCTGATCACATCCTGCTTTCTCATCCTCTTTACTAACTCTTCATCAATAACCACCAGCTAAAGTTTTATTTGGTAGGTCACTAAAAATAGGTTTACTGGATTACACTTGAAGTCATAATAGTCATCCAGAAACTAGTTTATGAAAAAAAAAATTTCTTTAGGTCTGAGTAATTCTGGTTTTAGATCTACTTGAGATAGCAGTAAGGATTAAGAATCCACTCTTGACTCTGTATAATTCTGTTTTTAGAAATGTTGCTAGAGCTTTCTGAATAGCTTGTATTGCATCTGTTTCTGTAAAGACTGCAAGGAACTTCAGTATATAAAAAGGTTGGGGTGGTGAGATGACTGCTAACCTCTTTTCCCCTCCCTTGTCAAGTCTCATTCCTATCTGTTTCTCTTGCAAAATCATACATTTGCCATCAAGATAAGTTTGAGAACTGGCTGCATGTTTGCTAGATTCAGCATATCTGTCATTTAATTGTTACAGTAGGATGAACTACTCAAAATTTTTCTTGAGTAACCAGAGTATGTAATAATTAAATGTCAGATAATGTACCCACTTTCAAAAGAACTAGCTGATGTCATTTCAGACTGCACAAACTTCCCTGTAAGTTGCCAATAGCCCAGTTGTTCATCTGTGGGTCATAATCTTTTAAGTACTATGTGTGATTCATAAAAGGCTTTTGAAAGGTTTTTGAAAATAAGCACATTATAGGTGTATCAAAATTTACCTTTCCACTAGGCTGCAGACTGTAATAAAAATAAAATTAAAAAAGCAAAACCGTGGTACCTTGATGTTCTTCTGTTATTACTGTTTCCTCCCTATCTCTGAATCAAATGTATTGATGTGAACTTTGCAGATTTCTATGTTTAGGTAGATGCATGATACTTAAGAGCTCCCCTAACTGTCTTTGCCATACATTAAATAGCATCAGTATTGAAAAGAAAGAGAAAGAGAAAGAGAAAGAGAAAAAAGAGAAAGAGAAAAGAAAAAAGAGAAAGAGAAAAGAAAAAAGAGAAAGAGAAAAGAAAAAAGAGAAAGAAAAAAGAAAAAAGAGAAAGAAAAAAGAGAAAGAAAAAAGAAAAAAGATAAAGAAAAAAGAAAAAAGATAAAAAGAAAAGAGAAAAGAAGAGAAGAGAAGAGAAAAGAGAAAAGAGAAAAGAGAAGATGAGACAAACTTCGGTAACTTTTTGAAAACAAAAAAGTGGGTGGGCAAAAGAAAATCCAGTGTAAATACAGAGCAGGCTATCCTCCCTGTAGCCTTGTGGGAAAACTGGGCTTTAATGCACATTCTGAAAATTTGTGAGGTGAAGGGGAATTCTGAAATTCTGGTTTCCATTAAAGAACATCCTGAAGAATTTTCTCTCAGAATAGAGAAGGGTTTAAACAGGTATGTCTAGGTTGTTTGACGGCTCTGTGGATCAAAACTCCTTAAACTCTACTTGGAAATTACAGGAAGGGCACCTACTGGAGCACAAATGTCTTGTGCTTGTGGTGAGAAGTTTCTCTCAAGGAGATAACTACCTTTCTGCAGTAGAGCTAGTTTCTGAGTTCATAACTGTAGAGTGTGTTATTATAATCTTAATATTGAGCTGACAATTTTTAAGCCATGTTTTCTTGGTTTGTATCTGAAAGAAATGGATGGACCGTCTTAGCCTGATATAAAGTAAAAAAACCCAGCTGTTCTGGTAAAAGTGACTTGAAGAGCAACTGAGAAGCTAGAATAACACACATTTTTGCAAGCTGGATTAATAAATGGACAAATAAACATACTTGTGTATTTGCACAAGTACAAATGGAATCAGGAATTAAGAACTTTATGTAACGCCATCCTGACACCATCCCTTCCTCTTTATTTGGTTTTTAAGCTGTGGCTAAGAAGCCCTTGTTTTGGAAACAATATCTGAGAAAGCACACTATTAGAGACATAAATACTTCAGGGTATTAAGGTGTAGTTATAAATGTCTGTAGGTCTGTTTAGCATCAAAACTCGATAGACCTGGGCATCACGAGAGAAATAATTTTCAATCTTGTGACCAAGTGCTCTGTTGAACTCCAAATACTCTTGAGAGCTTTGGGGCTTGCATATAATGAAATGTTACAGCTCAAGTATTTGGATGCTAACTGGTATTTTAGAACTTTCTTTACCTGAACCCCAACTATGGGGTTCTAACAGCAATGTTAGAAATCAGTGTAATGCATAGTTTATTCAAAAAGCATTTTTTAAAAAACCTGTTGATTAAATGATACAGTTTTTAGAGATGTTCAGCAGTATCTTTATTTCTGTATTATGCTGCATATGTACTCTTAAATCATCAGCTGATTATCTGTGTTCCTACAAAGAAAAATAAAATGATCCTACTCTGATGTCGGTAAATCAATCATTACACCCCCTGCATATCTGAAGCGAAGTCCACACTGCAGATGGAATCGGTATGATTCTTAATTCATGTACATGCACCCTATTGCTCTAAAAAGCAGAGCAAGTCTCTGTAAATTCCAGACCCTTTATGCTCAAGTATTTTAGGGGTTTTATGACTTCTTATACCAATTAAAATAGATTTAAGGACCCTTTTCATTTAATTAGATTATGTTTATTATTTTCCTGATACCATGTTTGGTATATTCTGGAGTTCCTTGAAATGCCTCATCACCAGAACGTAACTTTTTTGTTCTCAAGTTGTTGAATAAATTTTTAGTGTGCTAACACTGCCTTTAAACAGTCAAAAGCCCAACTGACATCGGTCAATTCCATAAGGACTGCAGGAGTGGGACCTTCAGTAGCAATGGGAAAAAAGTTTAACTAGCAAACACATCTTGATCTTGGTCTTCTCTTGCTTTTTTTCTGTTTTCATGCATGACCTTGGGTTATTTTTGGATCAAACGCCAAAGGCATTGTGATGCTGAGTACTGTAAAATCTTAAAGCTTGCTCTGCTCACTGCAATTGAGAATCCAGTGTTCGATACACATGTATCCCTAAAGAACACCTGAAGAGAGCTAGGCATCTTAAAATTGGAGCTACAGGGCTCGTATGCTGCTTTGCTTAAAAATAGAATGCTATTTTTAGCTTGTGGCATTTGACTACCATTGGAAAATGCTGTGAATAAACATTATCAAATCTCTACCTGTCTTAAACAATGACTTTATGGTGGTGCTTATCTTAATTTTAGATTTATGGTCTTGAATAATCCCTCAAAGGAAGACACCAGAACATACAGTAGGGGGTTCATCCTCTTTGAAATAACAGGAGAGAGAATGAGGTGCCAGTAACAGCTACTGGATAAAATTTGCAGATAGTCCTTGGAGCAGAAATTGGAACCCAGACCTTTTCCTTCTAAGCTGACTGCCTTAACCACTGAGAGAAGTTACAGTTTTCATGTTTCCTTGGTCCAAAAAAAAGGATTATTTTATGCAAAGGAAGACAGCTTCAACAAAAGAATGTGAGAGATGTGCCTCTAATGTGGAATAGTCTGTAATCCAGGAGTTTAAAATTTTGCTGGAGAAAATGGACAATATATGCAATATAGGAATTTCCCTTAGGCAAAAAAGGGAACAGAACCTACATCTCTTCAACTACTGTATAAAGGCATTGGGGAGCAGGAGGAAACTTGTTACGTGTTTTAAAAGAAAGGAGGTATTGGCTACATATTTGTTGATCTTTTAGACATTCAATTACCAGACTGAATACATTAAAAAAAAAAACAAAACACCAAACCCCAACCCTTCAAAAATTCCCCCATCTGGCTTCTGGATCTGTACTGGATTTGAAGTGTGTGTCAAGCTGTGCTGCCCTGTCAACGGTGAAGCTTGTATTGACATGGGCAGACGTAGGATGTTAAATCGAAGAGCCCAGTTCTTGTAGTGTTGGCTGTCAGCTGAACATGTTTTTTCAGAATGAGGATTTTGGAGCTAGGTGCCTAGATTCCCTTCAAACCCTTTCTGAGGCTTGGCACACAAACTGTTTTCAGTAACTGTTCAAAGTTGTTAGTAAGAGCCATAATGAGGGTTTTCCTTAAATGCAAATGTTTGAAACTGAACAGATGCATTAGCAAATGTTAAGTGGAAAAGAATTACTGATAGAACAGCTTTATGTATGTATTAATATATGTTCTATATTAATATATGTTCTATATTATCTATGTATTAATATAGAGTCCCTAATTCTTTTTTCTGTTTCAAAGGAAACATGATTGGACTCTTGTATATTTAATCATCTGTATTTTAGGCTCTAATTGTGTAAATACATGCTTACATGTTTAATTTTACATTTTATATTAATATTACATTTACCTCAAGGTTATTGGAACTATTCAGGCAGAACCACTGGGCATTTTATAGTGTCGGGATCCTCCTGGAGACATAATGCTGCTTAAATAAACTATGGTGTATTTATTCTATTTTGCCATGAAGCAAACTGTTACCATCGGAACAAAGTGATACATTTCATTCAGAGTTTATTAATTCTTTCGTGGGTATCCATGTTGTGGCTAATACTGGTTTTTTTTTTTAACTTCCCCTCAGGATGACAGTGGCCTATGCTACCCTTCAAGCAAAAGCCACCAGCAGACTTTTGCCTACTTGGTTGTGGATCCCTGCAAACGCCACGTGCATACTCTCTATCACTGTTTTGGTGGAAGCTTATTTACCAACTAGTTCTAACCAGTACTAACTAGTTGCTCTGGTTCCGTAATGGAGGTGGCCTTCTCTCTGCACGAGTTCAGGTAGAAATTGCCCAGTTTTCTTCCGAGGAAGGACGCGCTCCCGCATTACACGCTCTGCGCGGCCACGCGTTCAGGGAGACGTTACCGTGCGGTTAGCGACACAAGTTCTGTCGAACGTTCCCCTATTTCACGGGCGCACTTCTCCCATCTGTTTGCCTGGTAGTTTTGTCCCCCCTTTCCCTCAGCCGTGTTAGCTAATAAAAGTTATTTCTCTAGACGTCGTGTCAGCTTTTCGGATCCACGACGCACGTACGCCGGCGGAGGCTCCGGAGTCAGTGAAATCTCTGCCGAATCGGGCAAAAGTGCCTCAGGCGGCCCGGCCCGGCGGGCCCGACCGGCCCGGCGCCCTCCCT